GACCCTGAGTAGTTTGAAGGTCAGCTGCTCAGACGCAATTAGTTTTGCAAAGCTACGCGTTTTTCTTTAGGCTGTAACAGCTCGGTTTTGAGGTCAACCCATAGAACAAACAGGCAACAACGCCAGGTATCTCTGATCTCATGTCTCTGCCAGCTCTGAGCTACCTTAGGTGCGCACAGTGTAGGCAATGCACGTCCCTCATTCTCACATATTTCCTAATGAGCTCGCATCGACCGCATTCCTATTATCTACACGTAAGTACCGCTTATCGTTTTCGAAATCAGGCGACGTCGTCCCATTGAAGTAGTCGGAAATTGTGGTAACTTTTTCCGGGAGGCATTCTCACTCACATGAATGTGCTTTCTAGCAGACCTTCTGGACACTTTTTCCTATTTTGAGTCTCCAGAGTAGACACAGCTCTCTTTTTACCCCGTTTGAATGGCAGCAATGAACCACTATCAACCCTCGACGGACCCAGGAATATCTTAACCACAATGACAACCTTAAACGGCTGTCCACGAACCGAAGTAGGGCGTCGTGATGACGGTACCGTGACTACCATACCCAGTCTGATAGCTTGACCGTATTTCTCTTTATGCCAAATATTTCCTAGACGAGCGTGTTAACTATAAGACCCTTTCGGTCCGTTCAGTTTGTGCAAGAACTTAAAAGCAGTGGACATCTCATTGTGCCGTAAGATTGATAAGCTTACAAACCGAACAGTTAAACCATCGGCACTTTTGGTGGCTCGGAATATCGGTGATTATCAATGCCTGCCTTAAGCCAGATATAACGTGTGCTTACCATCATAGTAAAAAAATGACCAGACGTGACGAATTTCTGGGCTTCGCTGGGACACTTGCCGCAACCACAGAAGAATTTTTCATATCCAGGTCGCGAATCCCCGCTCTAATTTTACTCTGAGCGGACGTAATGAGGGCGATTATTGTGTTTGAGATTGTGTTTTGAGATTATATCCAAGTACAGTGCGCAATAAAGCACGCAAAGAACCAGCTTTTCCACAAAATCATCCACCGTTTTTATAGCGGCAATGCTCCAGGCAACGGACTGCCATTAAAATACAAATTCTGCGCGCAAAGTGGACTCCGAGTTAGTTTAAACAACTTCTTGAACTGCGGCTGCTTTGGGAGATCTTAAGCGTCCGATTAATTAGCATCGAATGTTAAAAATTTATGTTAAAGTTTTCTTCTTCCGAACCACGGTTTCGGTGAAATTTTGGGTGTGCCTTTAGGACGCGGCTAATTTTCCCCAGTCATTTGCTTACTTCGTTAATGTACTTTTGACTTCACTTGTTCTGGTTATCTCTACCCGAAGCTCACCTTGCCACAAAGGCCACACCGTTCAAAATTGGGTACTGGTATGTTTGTCCGCGTATAAATATGCGCAGCTGACCTTCTTAATAGCACGCGTTCGTCTCGTGTGCTAAGCCTGCCATGACCTGTTTTCCCACGAGTTCCCTGCGATTACAGCGCCAATGAGGATCACGAGTTGCACTATTGAGCCAACATTCTACCCACCATTGCTTGATGTGTGGACGCTGACCCTGCACCGTGCCGATCAGTGACAGACTGGTGCGCTGGCGCTACGAACGAAGACAATTGAGACTTAAATCTGCTTACCATTGTGTGAATAGTTCTGTGGAATATTGGAACAATTCTCCCTTTGATACTCGAAATTATCGAAACCACGCGTTTTCAAATTTCGTATTTGGCACCTCAACACTCAGTATAACTGGATCCTCAAGGATATGTTATTCTGCGGCTGACGACTCCTTTTTTCCCTTCCAATTGACCTCCCGAATTACACTTCCAGCCGTTGCTGCGCTTTCTCTATGGCACTTCTGCTTTAGGCGCACCACATGCTACAGAGCCATTATTCTCGCTTTTAACCTAGTCCTTGACACTTTTACCTACCTAAAATGAGTCACACATAATCGCTTGCTTTGAACTCCATTGTCAGGTGACATAACTTTTAGACGTGGTTCACAATTGGACTGCACTCCCACTAACCCCGTTGAAACCCTCACAGACTGTATAAGGTTTTTACAACGAACAGAATGTTTTTCTTCACTCCATATATAACATTAGAAGCCGTTCTATAAAAGTGCAAATCACAAACAGTCAGTGTTTTACTCGCGTGCGAACCATCCAACTCCTGTGACAGAAGAACCATCAGAGAAAGAGTGCTCAGACAAGCCCTTCCGAAAAAGTTTGGCTATTAGTTCATGAACACCTCCAAGTCCGGTAGTGCCTAATCGGCGGATGGAAGCACGGATAAAAAGCACCGTAGCGAAGAGGCAAATCACGAATCCGAAACTCCTGGTGTCGACCGAAGCGCAAGCAGTATCAAGCGCTCTTCGACCAGAAGCTGCGGGCCTTCTGCTCACTAATCTTGAGTACACAACCGATCCACTGGATCTGTTAGCCACATCTGCACAGTCAATCTCCTGGATGATAGCTTCGACCAGTCTTTTGCCCACGTCCTTCGTTCTTCAGCTTTTTCCACCTCTATCTTATCGCATCAAAGGGTGCGGTATGTTTTCTGCATTGTAAGGCGTGTATCCTACCCAAAAGTCACAAGCATCCTGCAACAGCCAAGTAGCGGCCAAACATGATTCATCATGAAGACTAATTTCCACTCCCACTCCCTAATTATTTCGATAGCTATATAATATTTCTACCTGCAATTAGCTCGCTGCTGCCGGAATTCCATCTTCGGCTGACGAGCCTTTCAGTGCGAGAATGGGCATGAGCAATTCCACTGCTACGAAGTTGAGTCTAACAGTACTGCACAACCGACTTATTTTCGCCTAACGGCACATAAGCCCGACGATTACAAGCCTATCTGGAGGCTGATAGTCTGCAGAAAGTAGAGGAACCTAGGTTACGCTTCATTCCACCCGATGGTCCATGAGATATGGAGTTGCCCATTATCCACATAATGCTCTTAGCTGCAAAACCTTAACAAGCGGAGGAAAACTTTCTACGCCAAAATGTTGCATTTTCTTGCGGATGAGCTCGAACCAAAAACAGTCCTAACCTACGTTCATATTTTTGCGGCTCACCCAATTTCATTGTTCACTGAAACAACCATGCCTCTGCCTGGAAAGTCCTGTGGGATAATTTCCCCAGGTCGCTGAGACCCGGGATGCCCAAATGGGGCACCAAATTCCACCGCTGCGTACCACTACGCTCCCCAATAACGCACCGATGATGTCACCTCGAATGGTGACGAAACGTCCGCAATCGAACTGCCCAGCTCAGCGAACAAGCCAACGATCATCTAACCTACCTGAGCTACCAATATTTTCATTCATAGAAAAGACACAGTATGTTTGAATAGTTCATTTTTGGTAAATTAGACCTAGTGGCCTAGTTTGGTGAAAGCACCTTTTCAAATGCAGTCATGTGCGAATTGAGAACGTGATTAGGTTGTCACCTTGTGATTATTTTTACAGAGAGAATATGGTGAGGATTACAGTTGAAACACGCTAATATGTGCCTTTACACTTTCTGGGTGTCGACTGACCACGGGAAAACCACTACGCTCATATTTTCAGTAAATAACATCCTGGTGGATATTACCAACCACTGCTCTTTTGCAGTCCGCCAATATTCCTAAAAATTCAAACGGATGAAAATCTGAAAGTAAGTGTTACAACTTGGAGAGTGCATACGGTTGTTTGTATGGTGCCACCTTATGACAAGCATCGATAGATGTGTTACTCTAAATGTGCACCAGCTAGAGTATGGAATAGTGCATGTGGATACGATTTTTGCACACTAAGCGACCTGTAGTGGGAAACTATGAACAATTTAATGGTTCTCAATGGGGAAAACGTCAATAGTTCAGGTGGCGAAGATGGTGGTCGTTTGCTTGTTCTCTGAGCTGGGCAATTTGATTGCTTTAATGTTTAATGGTTTGAACAGGCACCGGTTTGATGCGCATGTGAGTCAACCTTTGATGGCCTGGCAGGCTACACGTGCTATCCCGACCACGGCTCTGTTCGTCACCTGCAAAATTAGTCCTTCCTCAGCCCCCAGGATCTAGCGAATTTTGAGGCTTCTTTCATAAAGCCATTGAAGTGGGCTGAGTAAGGTTTTAACGCGGTAACGGTCTGAAGTTTCTCTGTGACTTTGTTTCTCCTGAACTGTCGTAGCAACGGAACACTCGTCTGCAGAGTCGGTAGACACGTAACGGCTCATATGTTTGCAGCTTTTCCAAACTTTATCCATGTCCTATTATCTGCGTGACACGGCGGGACCTTGTACGACTCTTAACTGGAATAACTAAATGACCTTACAACAAGCATACAAAGGTTCGTGGTTGATCTCTTTGCTCAGAAGTTGGTCCTTGTCTAGCTGCTAGCATTCGGGAACATAGCACTCTTGACAAACCTGTCGGTTTCGAAAATTATTTATTAAATGTTCGAGTGGAGGTGATGTTTAATTTGGTTGCGAGTTGCACCCATATAATAATAAGTTTTAGCCAGGTATGAAGGAAAGAATCATATTTTCCGGGAGCTGATATTCTTGAACAGTACATAGTTGCCCCGCTTAGTGCGCTCGATCCATTGGGGCCTGTAAGTGCGTCTAAATTTTGGCTGGAGGCAGGGAGTAAACGAAGATGAAACTTCAGTCAATATTATGCACGCAACACACGAGTAATAATTTTACAAAAGAAATAGTAACATGGAGTGTGTTTAATAAATATGGTTTTGAAGTCGAGGAGTTCAGATGGCGTTGGGATCTTCGCGAACAATAATAAGGTTAACTCGGATCTAAAACGATTGTGTTCATTTAAAACGGTTAACATATTTTTGTCAGTGTAGGTCCATTCACATAATTTGTCACCAGCAGCCCAGAATTCAGCCTTGGCCTGGGATAAACACTAATTCTACATTATGTGTTATAGGTTATGAGGACTAATGTGTTTTAGTTGCGTATTTCTAGCCAACCAGAGCTGACAAACCATGAAATGTGACCGTGTAAGGCAATGGTACTTCCGGGGACACTTTTGCTTTTATTGAGAATCCAGTTATTTTCTTCCAGTGGTGCACCGTATAGTCACAAATCGTGAAAAACTTGTGAAACGTCTGGGAAGCTTCGAATAGTAAATCTCACCCTAGGAGAGAATGTATATGTCAAACATTTTGCAAACTGAGGAATCGATCTTACGAATTCCTTCCGCTAATAGTTCACACTTTACAGCTTAGGCCAAAGACGGCTGAAAGCTTTCTGATAATCTGATAATAAGAAATACCATAGGTTATTAAAGACTAAAGAACGAACGTATAATTAGAATGATCATAAACGGTTTAGTGCAAAATTAGCTTTGGAACTTTCACATGGCGCCGTTGCTCAGCGCCCGGAATGACAGCCATCAGATGGCATAAGTCTTTTTAAGCTGTTGACATGTTCACCGAGGCTGGCAATTAACTTGCTAGCGTCTCTTCACCATTCGAGACTAGACCATCAGTACAAATACTGATGACGTCTTAGATCAGAAGCTACCTGTTTACCTGCATGCATTTGCGTAACACCAGGCTGAAAACGATTTAATACTGCAAGCTTTTGCAGGGAAATAGAAATGCTTTTAATTTTTACCTGAGATCTGCGACGATGTCTATGAAAACTTCACTCGCAGTAGCAACCCGTAGAAGCATGTTTCGCTGTTAAACATATCCGAGTGTTTACATTGTCACTGGGGAGTGGTATTGACGACAGCTTAATGATTAGGTTTTCTTGATATGTTTAGGCATTTTCTGAAATGTAGCGGAGCGTTACTAAATAGGAACCTCGAATTATTCTTATACACAGTTTTGTGGACAGGTGGTGTCATAGTAACCCTTTTGATACTTTTAGAACGTTTCTTCAAACATCGATTCGGTAGCTTATCTTATCAGTGTTGGGCAACTAACATAGACCACAGAAAAAGAGTTTAATAGAGTTAAGCCAATTTCTTATTTAGTTATTCAGCTGAAACTGAACCGAAAAGCTTATCACTAGTATGCGTTGAGGATAACGTGAGTGATCATTCCACTTCTGTGAAGCATTTTTTTTTATAAAACTTGTAATAATTTAACATCAATTTGGTCATATCCTTTGCGCAGTACCTTCGACGATCTCGTCTGCTCTTGCATCTTAATTGAACTTATAGCAGTGAAGTTTCTGTACAACTCAACTTTATTTGGAAAACTTGAATAATGCTGATCTTGGGCGGATAGCGCTTGTTGACTAGCGTTTTGTTTTGCACTCAGCCAAGCGATGGCTTATTGCCTGCCTGTTGGTCCATTCATGTTAGATAATAGATATCCTTGTTTTCGGAAACGTCGAATTTGGTGTAGCTTATGTTTAATTTAACTTCAAAGTGATCTGACAGCAGTGAGGTATAGTGAATTAAATCCACAAACAAGACCAATGCAGCGGCTTATGTTAATAGGAGTTGCCAACGTATAGGCTTTTAAAGTGGGGAACACGCCGAAAAAGAGTAGTTCTTGGGGACGTTTATGGGACTATTTATGGGAGGCTGAACTGCAAAATGATTCCGTTTTGACTGGGAAGATTTTTCTGGTATGATTCATTGCGACAGAATGTATGCCTCACTTTTATTTTTGTTCGAAAAGTCCCATTTAGTGGTCTCCCTTAACCCTCGCTGGATACAAACAGTTCCCATCTGATGCTCTTCCTTTACGTAGCACGAATGAGCCTTCCTAACTATCCGCCCTTTTTTGTCATTCGTGTTACAAATCATGAACATTAAAACGCCCTCCAGTCGACGATCTCAAACAAATAGCAAATCAGGCAGTAGAATCTCGAATAATCCTCATCAACTTTATCATCAGCGTTAAACCAACGGAACTACTCAGATGTCTCGAATATATTTTCATTTAAAACCTGAGACAACAGTTATGCATTAGTTCTGGCTAAGGCATTCCGCAGATAAGTTTACGAATTTCGAAGATAAATCTCAGGCAGATTTTAATTGTAAAAAATGATTTCCGCTGGTTGAAACTGTATGCTTAAAGTTCCACTGAAGCCAAAGTACATAGAAAAACAACCGGCTATGACTGCCGACCTACCGTCTGTAGCCACTAACACATGGTTGAAGATAATTCAAATTATTTTCGCTAATTGAGGCTAGAAACTTTCTGATACCGGTTCTCGAACTAACCTCGTCCTTCTGTATTGACTCTTGTTCCGAAGCGTGAAAAACGCCTAATTTGTATTTTCCCAAATTTTTGAAATAAATCCGATAGTTTTTTGTACGTAGTGCATCCAAGGCGACAGGGTTGACCGTATGAAAGGGAAATGTGTTAGAAAAATGTTATCTTTCTTTCATGACTTATTTACAAGTGACCAGTTAAAAGCAGAGGTTTGAGCCAAAAGGTCTCAACGTTTGAAACCAAGAAGGAAGAACGAAGGAGCCTTATAAGTTTTGGGAAATAAGTGAATAGGTTATGTACGGTCTTTTACTTATTAGTTGTCTACTCGTTAGTCTATTCACTGTATCGACCCGACTGAGTTTTCACTATCTTATCTCGACTAAGTCCAGATGCATTTGCCCAGCCATCAGCACTGTTACTTACATAAGATGAGTGCTGAATACTGGGCTTATAGCTAAGTTTCAACGCCTGAACATTCTTGGTTTATTTGTATTGCTGAGATGTCAGCTGAGGTTGGGACTCTTAAGTTATTCTGTGCATCTTAGGACATACTGGTGGCTTTATGGCGGCTGTGAGTGATGACTTACCACTTTTCAACTATGTTGTAAAACCCATCCTTGGTTCTGTGAATCATCAGAAACGTGTTCCTTGTTTAACGCACATTATTCAGGTATAAACCACAACTACTGTAAACGTTGCAAGGACAAGAATGTGGTTCATTCATTCCTGATTCATATGGGTATGGACCACTTGCTTTGATTACGATGCGTCATAAGACCATACATAACCCCAAAAAGTATGAATTATTCGTTCCAAAACACCGTAAAATTGTAAGTGCAAATCGGACTTGAGTAGATTGCTGCAATTCTCTTCTCTGGAAACAACCTCGTAAAACCCTATTTCGGAATAGCTCTCCTATATTCTAGTAGTTTTTCGATTAAATATTTCACTTTGTTCTACTGTATTTAGGACCACATTTGTGAGTATACAGAAAATTTACAAATATTTTTGAGGTTGTCAAAGTTTTGTCAATCAGAATTTCAACTTGTATAGGTAACTGATTGTCTGCGACCGGAATGCCCGGCAAACACAAACTAGCGATTGCACCGCTAAAGTTATTTGTCCTCCTGGCAGGTGGGGCCGGAAGCCCATGGTTTTCCGCCTTTTGCCTGATCGATATCTGACACTCGTATGAATTTAGTCGGTGTCATATATAACACTCAAGTAATCAGCCGCGCATCATATCCCGCAGCCGAATTTGTAAACTGGAAACTTTTTCAGATTGGCAAGACGCTTGTCTTAGTAGACTGGGCAGAGTAAATTGCTGAAAGTAGGATCGTCTTTATTGTTCTCCCGCAAATACTGGTTTCTATATCTGAATAAAGTTCCGCAGTATCCTGTGAAGTGGCATCTTAATATCAACGATTATGATACTAGTAAAAGTTCGCATGCGATTTCTAGACTGTGAAAGACTGGTTAATT